GATTTGCTAAAGACAAAAAAATTTTAAGCAGCTAATAGGAACCAAGAAATACAATATTGCAATTCTCAAAACCCTATGAAGTTGACTAACTTCAACCTTGAAGGCCATTAAAAATTCATTGAAATACATTATTATTTTTTTCATGACAATTTAGGGAATTTATAATTAGTGAGATCCCTAGGTGTTCACAATAACAAGGCATCTTTTGGTAGGAAAATGTCTGCTGAAATGCAGAATAAACCCAAGACAAGTATCAACACATATAGAAGTTATCAATGTTGGCATATTTAAAAAGAAATTAGAGGCAACCAGATTACAAAAACAGACTGTTTTATAGATAGGAAAATTAATGATTGGTCTGGTAGAAAATATGTCAACAAAAAAATAGAGACCAGAAAATTACTGTGGATAAAATGAGAGTTCCTGTGGCCAGGATTCTCACCTGGCCCTGGTTGACTAGCTCACTGCACACGTGTGGGCAATACATGGCTGTTGACTCTATATAAAAGAGCTCCGCCCAGTGCTCTGTGCACGACTGGTGGCAGGGCTGCAAGGCTGCAGGAGAGCAGAGCAGAGGCTGGAGTGGTGGCAGCATCAAGGACAGAGGCCCAGAGGACAGCTGTGCGGACAGAGGGGTCCAGAGGCAGAGACTGGCTTGCTGAATACAGACTCAGTCTGAGTGAACGAGATTTTAGTGACTAACCTGCCACCTGGAAAAAAAGTTGGGTATAACCCTCATTCCAAGAATGTTTTGCTGTCATTTTCTTTGGTCACATTGAACTTGCCCGGGGCTGAGACCCATTGGCAAGACAATGATAAAAGATAGATATTTAATATGATTTATAAATATATATCTATACATTAATTATATAAACTAACATATACAATGAGTTTATATATATATATATATATATGTTTAAGTGAAAAATAATTCTAAGGCTGTCTATACAATTACTCAAAAATGAGTTACATATACTGAATCAAAGGTCATGCTTCCCAGGTGGCCTCATTTTATTCCATTCTTCTAATCTCACTACCTCTACCCAGATTGCATTAATCAGAACTAACATTACACTATTTATTCCTATTTATATATGCCATCCAAAGCAGCTCCAAACTCTTCAGTTCAATGCCAGTTTTCCACATTCTAATCTCTTAAGGCTCTGTATATGTTATTCTTTCCTCAATGCACCATGTATCCTTAACATAAGAAACCCTTCATGTCAAAAAAAAATTAGACACATACTTGCTATAAAAATTTCCAAACAAAAGTAGAATAGTATGATGAAACTCCATGTGTCCATCCTACAACAATCCTCAAATTCAACAATTAAGACTTTCCACTTTTGCTGTATCCCTTTATTTCTTTGCTGGACTATTTTCAAGCAAATCTCTGTAACTACGGGGGAAAATCCCAGGGCAAAATACCTTTGAAGCTGAAATCAATCAAAGGGAGAAATAAAGTTTAAAACCCATTTATTGCTTACTCGCCCCAACCTCTTGGGTCCAGATAAACCCTCACTTGCCCACGTAATTACCCACTGATATGGAGATGGACTACTTCTCTCCACCCCTTGGAAACACCTGTTGATATGGAACTGCACTAAAGCCAGGTGGGAGATTCTGGAAATATTATAATTTTACCCACACTCAGATGTCATCATTTCATACCACATATACTTGTATGCAGCTCTAAAAAATAGATAGTGAAGAGTTATTTTAATTGAGTCAATTACTGTAAAATATATGCAAATATTGACCTGACATTGCCAGTCAGCAGGCCATAAAAAGTTTTGAACTGCAAATGAGACCATCAAGAAAGTGAAGACAACCTACAAAATGGGAGAAAATATTTCAAATCATGTAATCTGTTAAGTGACTTGTAGTCAGACTTCATAAAAATGTTTACAACTCACAAAAAAGCCACAAATAATCCAATTAAAAAAGCAAACTATTAGAATAGATATTTCACCAAAGAAAAAATATAAATAACCAATATGCACTTGAAAATTTGCTCAATATGATTAGTCTCTAGAGAAATGCAATCAAGGCCATAATGGGATACTACTTCATACCCATTTAAATGGCTTAATAAAAATAAACAGGTAACGTGTTGGTGATGATGTGCAGAAATTGGAACCCTCATACAATGCTGGTGGGAATGTAAAATGGCGTAGCAGCTTTTTAAAACTGTTAAAACACAGTTACCATATGAACCAGCAATTCCACTCCCATGTATACCCATGAGAAATAAGTCCACATACTTTCACACAGAATTTTTACATGAATGTTTATAGCAGCATTATTCAAAAAATGGGAACAATGTAAATAGAAATGCAATGCAAATACCAATCAATTGATGAATGGACAAATAAAATGTATATGCAAACAATGGAATTTTGTTTCGCCATAAAAAATAAAGTACTTGAAAACACTATGCAAGTATAAGAAGCCTATAGTCATAAAAGACTATATATTGTATGATTTTATTTTGATGAAATGTCGAGAATATGCAAATCTATAGAAACAGCAAGTAGGTTGGTGGTTGTGCAGGGTTGGGAAGGAAATGGTGAGTGCTTTCGGGTGATGAAAATACTCCAAAGCTGATTGTACTGCTGGTTGCACAACTCTATGAATACAGGGAATGTATAACTTTTTTTTATCATTCAGGAAATGAAATCAAATGCAAGTCAATCAAATAAAAACCTTTTTTAAAGGCCACGGCAGTCATTAAATTTTGTTTTCCGAAAGTCTCCAAATCTTTTTGATTGAGCTAGAGAACTGCCAGAAGAATACGGAAGCCTGACTGAAGACAAGCTGAAACAACTACAACCCAAGTCTGTAAAGACTCAAATATATTGAAGTCTGAAGGGGCCGGCGAGAAAGGCTGCCATTTGTATTAAGTGCCAGTGGTGTACTGTTATCCTAATTTTACAATTGACAGTCTGAGTCGTACTAGAGTCACAGAAGCCGAAAAAGGTAGTGCTATGTTGCGCATTCAAATCATTCTGACTCCACTGGCGCTTCTTTCCAGCCCCAGCTTGGCTGCAGAAAGGAGTTAAGGAGGGCAAAGAAAGCAACGGGTGGGAGAATTCAGCTGCCAGGAGTATTTTCTGAATGAACTCTGGTAGAGAAAGAGGTGGGCAGAAGACTTCCAAGTTATCAGTTCAGTATCGTTATGCAGAAACACTCATTTCTGTGCAGAAATGATTCCATGTCATTTGACAATGTTACTAAATTAAAAAGAAAATATATCCAATTTTGGAAAATCCGTACCCCACACCAGCAACTGCTTTCAATCTTGGCGTTTCATCCGTTGCTGTTTTCCCTGACGCGGCGCTCTTCGCAAGAATTACCAGTTTTCTGACTAATTCCCGGAAGAGCAATTCGCGCGACGTTCTGAGGGCAGACGCGCCCGGCGGACGCTGCGCAAGAGCGAAACCGAGCCTCAGCCTCTGCGCGTGCGCACCGCTTGACGGAAGCTCCGCCCCGCAGCGGCCCGAGGCTTGTCTACACTCTTGCTGTCTTCTGAGCCGGGTTTCTACACTACCTGTGAAGAATCAGCTGCGGTGCCCACCGCTCAGCGCCTGCGCGGGCTGCGGCCGTCCGTCACCATGACAGCGACCGCTGGCGGCCCTGGTAAGCGCCCTTCCCCGGCTCTGCTCGGGGACCTTGTCCGCACGTTTGGCTCGTGGTGGGGCACTTCTTCGGCCTCGTGCAGGTAGTTTCGGGCGTTTTGAAAGACTCCTCTGGTAGCACCTGTCCCTTTTGGGGATCCTCTGGGTTCGCATTCTCAGCGGGCACCAACCTAGAACTTTGATTCCAGGCATGGGCGCTAAGAGAAAAGCGTTTAGGGCGGCCAAGGATGGCAAGAATGTTGCACCTTTTAAAAAAGGATTTCTTAGAGCAGTATTATGTTCATAGGAAAATTGAGCAGAAGATAGAGATTCTCCATATACCCCCTATCCCACCAGAATGGTAGGTACACTTGTTGAAATTATAAACCTACACTGACACATCATAATCCAAAGTCCCTAGTTTATTTTAGGGTTCACTCTTGGTGGTGTATGTTCTGTGAGTTTGGAAAAATGCTTAATGACATGTGTCCATCATTATGGCATCAGAGTAATTTCACTGCTGGGAAATCCTCTGTGCTCCACCAGTTCATATCCCATCCCCACTCCAATCCCTGACAACCACTGATTTTACGGTCTCCAAAATTTTGCCTTTTCCAGTGTCATATACTTGAAATCACACAGTATGTAGCCTTTTCAGATTTGGCTTCTTTTCACTTAGTAATACGCATTTAAGTTTCCTTGATGTCTTTTCATGGCCTGATAGCTCATTTCGTTTTAGCACTGAATAATATTCCCTTGTCTGGCTGTACCATAGTTTATCCATTTGCCTACTGAAGGACATCTTGATGGCTTCCAAGTTTGGGCAATTATAAATAAAGCTGCTGTAAACATCCGTGTGCAGGTGTTTGTGTGGACATGAGTTTTCAACTGCTTTGGCTAAATATTAAAGAACATGATTGCTGGATTATATGCTAACGGTATGTTTAGTTTTGTAAGAACATGCCAAACTATCTTTTAAAGTGGCTGTACCAATTCGCATTCCCATCAACAGTGAATGAGTGCCTGTTGCTGCACATTCTCCCAGTATTTGATGTTATCAGTGTTCTGGATTTTGGCCATTTTAATAGGTGGTATACCTCACTGTTGTTTTAATTTGTGTTTTCCTGATGACATATGATGTAGAGCATCTTTTTCATATGCTTGCCATCTGTCCTCTTTGGTCAGGTATCTCTGACAGTCTTTGACCATTTTTTAATCAGGTTGTTTGTTTGGGAAGAACTGATGTCTTGATAATAGTGAGTCTTCCTGTCCACTTAAGTTCTTCTTTGATTTCATTAATCATAGTTTTGTAGTTTTCCTTGTATAGATGTTATACATATTTTGTTAGGTTTATACCTAAGTATTTTGGTTTCTTTGGGTGCTAATGTAAATGGCATTGTGTTTTCCATTTCAAATTCCAGCTATTCATTGCTGGTAAATAGGAAATTGATTAGCTTTGGTATATTAATCTTATATCCTCAATCTTGCTATAATTATTAATTCCAGGAGTTTTTGTGTTGATTTTTTAGAATTTTCTACATAGACATGTCATCTATGAACACAGACAGTTTTATTTCTTTTTTCCCAATCTGTATATACTTCTAATATCTTTTTGTGTCTTAATGCATTAGCTAGTACTTCCAGTATGATATTGGAAAGGAGTAGTGACAGGGGAGGAATATTGCTCTTTGAGGTCGTGGTTGAAATGAAGGAATGTTGACATTTAACTGATCCATGATTTCAATGGATCAAATGGGAAGTAGTTTTGATCAGTCTGATTCCTCTTTGGGAATTAGATGGGGGTGGGAAATGCAGACAAAGGGCCAGCTTTTATTTTAGCTTTTCATTACACAGCTTTTGCAAGCCCTTAATTTGTGTGCCTCTGTTGTTTGACAGCAGAGTTAGAAGTGTTTTAAGCCAGGTAGTTCTGCTCCAGGAGGCTATAGGAGGTTATCTTTTACATGAACATAAGTAGTTCCATTAGACAACTTTGTTGACTTGTTTTTTCAGTTTAAATTTTGTATTAAAAAATGTTTACCCTTAAAAAATAGTTCTTCTAAATATAAATGCTGTTATTTTAGGATCTTGGAGTGAAAATATATTGGAATATTTTCTGAGAAATAGCCAGATCACAACAGAAGATGGTGCCCAGATCATCTGGTGTCATGCAGCTAACCACAAGGCACAAGTGAATGAAGCACTGAACAGTAAGTAAGGGTGACTTGTAGGACAGCATGTCACCGGAGTGCTGAAGCATAGCTTGAAATAACGTGGTCCAACAAGGAAAATTCTTCAAAGCATCATGTTTTTTTTTTATTAAGGTATCGTTGATATACACTCTTATGAAGGTTTCACATGAAGAACAATGTTACTGCATTCACCTATATCATCAAGTCCCCCCCATATCCCATTGAAGTCACTGTCCACCAGTGTAGTAAGATGCTGGAGTCACTACTTGTCTTCTCTGTCAAAGTACCATGTTTTATTGTAAAAATTTGCATCCCTCACAATTATGTATCTGGATAATATATCTGAATAAGTATTTTATTGTAAAGGTACTGTTTTAAGTTGCTTTTCTTTGCTCCTCAAAGGGGAGAACTTTGTCTTGTTTCATATTGAATCCCTAATACCTAAAATAGTACCTAGTACATAATAACTACACAGTGATTAAAAATGAATTCTAGGAAAAAGCAGTGCTTTAAGAAAAAGTTGATTAACAACTGCAGGAGCTGGTGGGAGTAGGGAATAAGTGAATGCTAATGGGTACAGCATAGTATATCCATTTGGGGGATGATGAAGTTTTTCTGAAATTAGGTAATGATGATGGCTGCACAACCTTCTGAATATCCTAAAAAGCACTGAACGATACATTACAAAAGGGAAAATTTTGTAGTTTGTGAATTATAGCTCAATTTTTAAAAATAGGGAAAAGGAAGAAACAAAACTTATTTACAGACAAAATGGTTGTATGTATAGAAAATCAAAAAGATTGTACAGGCAAGTAATTGTAGTCATAGGTAAATTTAGGAAATTTCAGTATACAAAGTCAAAATAGAAAATAAATTTAATTTGTCTGAAACAGTAACTAAAAAGTTGGAAAATATCCTAAAAATTTCAGTTTGTAATAGTATATGCAAAAGTTTCATGCCTAGAAATAACATAATCACATGTGGATACTTTTAATCTTTGTTATGTGTTCTTTCATATACAATAACAATAATAGTATTATACATAGCAGTAATAGTAGTATAACTCCACTGGAGTTCCTGTACCCATTTCCACTGTGCATAAGTGTGTGGGAGGAGGTCATCCCACAAATAACAACAAATGATTCTCGAACACCAGCAAGTTGTCTGAGAACTCAACTCAATTCTGATGCTCTCTTCCTGGAGAGTGCACCAGATTCCCCAGGTTAAGGGCTCTGTCCTAGAAACTGTCCTCCACCCCCGACTCCAGGTGCAGGTTGCAAGCCCTAGGCTGTTACCTGTGCTTCTGACCTACTGGCTACAGATTGGAGGTTCCAATGACCTCCGCCTTAGGTTCGATTAATTTGCTAGAACAGCTCATAGAACTCAGGAAAACACTTACATTGATCATTTTAGTAAAGGATACAAGTTAATAGCCAGATGAAGAGATACATAGGGCAAATAAAGGAGCTTCTATCCTCTTGGAGCTTAGGGCCTGGACTGGTGGCATGTGGAGGCATTCTGGAAGTGCTTTCTTTAACAGAGGAGCAGGATCCAAGAGAAAGATAAGCTTTTAGGGTTTTTTGTGAGGGCTTCATTGCATAGTCATGATTGACTAAATTATTAGTCATTGGTTGATTCATCCTCTAGTCCCTGCCCTTGGATGTGATCCAGAAGTCTCTCATTTACATGAAAAAACACCCATTTATCTTTAAGACTCCCCAGTGTTTTCAGGAACTGGCCCTGGAGTTCTGGAAACACAAGTCCACATTGCATTGGGTTCTGGTGATTAACAAGCTGGACACCAGGGAGAGTTGGAACACTCTGGAAGGCTGAGACTCCAGCTGCTTATGGAGGACAGGCATGCTCTGATGGTCCTGTTGAGACCCAAAACAGAGGTGGCAGTTTGAAAGGTTTGCCAGCAGCAGGAGGGGTGCCAGAGGGGCAAGGGTTGGATGGATCTGTCTCTGCAGGAGAAAGGGCAGGTGGACATGCCTCTCCAGCCCTCCCTCAGCCCAACAGGCCAAGCACTCTTGGGAGCTCCAGATGCTCCATTCCCCTTTAGTGGCTCAGCCCCAAGGCACTTCCCTGTGCATCCCCAGCATGCCAGCCCACTCAGCTCAGCAGCATCAGACTTTGCAGCCTAGGAAGAGGGAGGCTTTCCCAGATTTCTCTGCCCTGCGTCAGCCCAAAAGAGAGGTGCCTGCAAGAGCCAGCTCTGAGCACTCCTTTCTCCTCTTGGTGGCCAAGCCCAGTACAGTACAGTACAGTACACCTCACTGCCACCAGTGTGTGCCTACATGTGACTTACCCCCACTGTGCAACTGCTCAACATGCTGCTGTGCCCTTGCCCTGCCCACCCCGTGAACCCAGCCAGACCTGCCATTGCTGTAGAGAGGGCAGAGGGTGGCCCTTCCCATAAGCAGAAGATCCCAGCAGAAGCGCTGCTGCTTTGCTCACAAAGGACCAGATGAGGCAAACTGCCATCTTCAGCAGACTAAGAGACCTCTTCCAGTATACAGGCAGGAAGCTGGCCCCACCCATAGCCCACCAACAGCAACTGGGCCTCCATCCCAAAGGAGAACCAAGCACTGGGGAGTTAAGTCTTGAGTTTCTCGGCACCACAGGACACCTTTTTCATAAGGCTGTTCCTCTCTAGACCAGGAAGGAAGCATAGCAGATCCATCTACTACAAAGAAGAAACACAGAAACCCTGACAAAATAAGGAGGCAGAGGAATACAGACTAAATTGACTACAGGATAAGAAACCAGAACAGGGCTAAATGAAATGAAGATCCCCAGTCTTCATGATAAAGATTTCAAAGGAACAGTCATAAATATGCTCACTGTTATGATTTGTGGAAAACTGTTGAAAATTTCAGGAAGGACTTCAACAAAGAGAAACAAGAGCTGAAAAAGAGCCACTCAGAGCTGAAGAGTATAGTAACAAGTGAAGTATACAATGGAGGAAATGAATAGTAGATTGCTGCAAGTAGAGAAGACAATCAATGAGGTGGAAATTAGGGAACAGGAACACAACCAAAGGGAGGAACAGAGAGAAAAAAGAATCTCTAGGAATTAAAGAATGCTAAGAGAGCTATGTGACAACTCCAAACAAAACAATATTCAAATGATAGGGGTACCAGAAGGAGAAGAGAGAGACAAAGCAATAGAAAATCTCCTTGAGGAAATAACTATTGAAATCTTACCCAGTCTGGGGAACAAGACATTAAGTCATGGAAGCACAGAGAGCTCCTAATAAAAGGAACCCCAGGAAAATACCACCAAGACATAATAATTAAAATGACAAAGATTAAGGATAAAGAGAGAGTATTGAAAGTAGCCAGAGAGAGAAAAAAGGTTACTTATAAGGGAAACTCCATCAGGCTATCAGCAGACTTCTCAGCAAAAACTTTAAAGGCCAGAAGGGAGTGGCATGAGATATTTAATGTATTGAAACAGAAAGACCTTCAACCAAGAATCCTCTACCCAGAAAGATTATTATTCAGATATAAAAGAGAGATTAAACATTTCACAGATAAATGAAGCCTGAAGGAATTTATAACCACTAAACCAGCATTAAAGGATATGCTAAAGGGACTTCTATATATGGGAATGTTCCTAAGGCTAAATAGTTTTCACTAGTAGAAATAAACCCACAGTAATGGTAGTAAACCAACTGCTTACCAAGCAAGTATGAAATTAAAACAAAAGTAGTAAAACCAACTATACACAAAATCAGTCAAGGGATACATAAAAAATGCAGATTATGACATCTAATATATGGAGTGTGGAGGAGGAAGAAGAAGAAAAAATACTTTTAGATTGTGTTTGAAATAGTGCAATCATCAACTTAATATAGACTGTTATATAGTTAGGAAACTATCCATGAACTTTAGGGTAACCACAAACCAAAATCTTACAGTAGATACACAAAAAATTTAAAAAGAGAAATCAATCACAACACTAAAGAAATCCGTCAAATAACGAAGTATAAGAGAGGAAGAAAGGAACAGAGAGGAACTATGAAAACAACCAGGAAACAATAAAATGGCAATAAGTACATACCTATCAGTAATTACCTTGGACTTAATGCACCAATTAAAGGACACAGGGTAGCAGAATGGATAAAAAAACAAGACCCATCTATATGCTGCCTGTATGAGTCTCATTTCAGACCCAAAGACATGCAGACACTGAAAGTGAAGGGATGGAAAAGGATATTTCATGCAAATAACAGGAAATAGGAGTAGCAGTACTTAGACTAAATAGGCTTCAAAACAAAGGAAGTAACAGAGACAAAGAAGAACATTACATGATGTTAAAGGGGTCAGTCCAGCAAGAGGATATAACCATTGTAAATGTCCATGTACCCAATAAAGCAGCACCTAAATATGTATAACAAATACTAACAGAATTAAGGGGGATATAGATTGCAACTCATTCATTTTAGGAGACTTTAATACACTGTCCACATCAATATATCAACTAGATAGAAAATAAATAAGGACACAGAGGCACTGAACAACATTTAGATCAGATGGACTGAACAGGTATCTATAGAACATTTCACCCAAAAGCAGCAGGGTACACATTTTTCTCAAGTATACATGGGATGCTCTGCAGAATAGATCCAAGTATAGGCTACAAAAAGAGCCTAAATAAATTTAAAAAGATTGAAATTATATCAAGTAACTTCTCAGACCACAATGGTATAAAACTAGAAATACACAAAGAGAACAAAATGTACAAACACATTAAGGCTAAACACTATGCTTCTAAAATAATCAATGGATCAATGACCAAATCAAAACAAAAATACAGAGACAAATGAAAAATACAACAATCAAAATTTGTGGGATGATGCTAAGGCTGTTCTAAGAGGGAAGTACATAGCAATGCAGGCCTACCTCTAGAAACAAGAAAAACCCCAAATAAACAGTCTAAACTCACAATTAAAGAAACTAGAAAGAGAAGAACAAATGAAGCCCAAAGTCAGTAGAAGGAGGGACATAATAAAG